TGAATTTATTTCTGCAAATAGGCTACAAGGCAGCACTTTTACACGTCAATTTTATCAAGCGAACTTCAGTAAGACAAATGACCAACTTCAGTAAGTGGATACTTCAATAAAACAAAGATTACGAACATTTCTGGATTGGACATTTACTAGACACCGACAAACAGGATTCAATATTTAAAAATATCTTTACATTTACTACTTTGAAGACTAATTTACTATAGTAAGTTTCTTACGCAAAACAACGGTTTAACAAGTTAAGTGTGGGAGAGCCATGCTTTGGCACGGATGGGCCGGCTCGACCGGAGTGATACCACGACCTCACAGAAAACCGACGTGAAGCAACGCTTGCCTTGTGTTTCGTCGTGTGAGAGAGGTTACCGGAGGCTCAATTACCCTCCTCTTCCGCAATCTACCCAATCCCTGAATCCCCAACGATCCTCAAACTCCTAATCCCCAAAAGGCCGGTAACGCATTTGTAACGCCTCTGGTGTTCCAGGTGTCCATGGGCGACGCCGATTGCTTACCATCAGGTGATCTGTCTGCTTGTTTACCGACTCGTGCCATAAAAAAAAAACGTCCATGACATTAAATTACATAAAACCAACAAAACATTCTTGTGCCATATTTTTATCTTCAATAAAAATTCAATTAAAAACTTCATAGCTTGAAATAAAAAAAAATAAAATGTAAAAAAATAAAAAGTGGAACGTCGACGTACTCAGTACTACAGATAGCTACATACTATTATATACACCGTTTACCTGTTTCGCGTATCGGGTCAACCCATAAAAGCCGTTACATCAAACCTGGTTATTTTTAGGGTTCTGTTTTCAAAGGATAAAAACGGGTCTTTATATTTAAAAACTGCGTTTAAAAAACCACAAACAAAAAGGCAAAACTACAAAGCAAAAAATAACTATTATTAGTACTGTTAGGTTACCCACCCACTGATAGGTTAGAAGTCGGTGCCATAAGTTCTATACAAAATTATTCATCAAAACTTTAATAGATACCTAATTTATAATTTTTTGGCCATTAACAGTTTGACTGTCGACAAAAAACTGTTGAAGGTGAATCCTCCGCTATCGTGACCCATATCTAGTCCCCCATGGCGTTCAAGGTGTTAGGTTATATCATTATGATATGAGCATAGCATATCATAGTACCTCCATCTTTTTTTTTTTTTGAAGTCGATAAAAACTGATGTCTGTCTGTCTATCACCACGCTGTATATCATAAACGGTAAGAGTATAGTTAGTTTTTATTGTGAAGTTGTAAAGAAAGCCTCGTTGGCCGAGTGGTCGCAAGTGAGACTGCCGGGCAATCTCGGGTTCGATTCCCGGGTCGGGAAAAGTATTACTGGGTTTTTAAAATAATCTCAGCAGTAGCACGGAGTCTGGAAATGTGCCCGGTGTATGGCAATAGGCTCACCCCCTATTACATGGGACTCATAACATAAATAATGAAAAGTGGGTGTTACGCCTCTGCATACCCCTTCGGGGATAAAAGGCGTGATGTTATATTATGTTGTAAAAATTGTGTATTTTGACTTTGACTTTGATACTTATGTCGATTTTTTTTAAACTTTGTAGCTTAATAGGGGAGATGTCGTAAGTCCTTTATCCAGCTGTGTACGTCTTCCAGCTGTTGATGATGATGATGATGATGTAGTGCTAAGGAACCCCTACCGCAGGAGTCTGAATCACACTTATCAATTTATTTTTGTACTTATTTTTGGGTCCTTGTCAGCCTTTTGATATTGACTGCAGGTTTTTGTACTTTATTATTTTGTGTGACATCAGCAATTTCTTGTGTAAGATTCATTTTGGATCCGACAACTACAGAGTACAGTTGGTTTAAAAAAACATTTAATAAGTTGGCTTGTAATGAAGTTTATTAGGATTTTTATAAATCGGTAAGTGATTAGTGATTACACATTTCTTTAAATGTAATTAGGTAGTTTCCAGGGTATCAAAATTAAAAATCGAATTATTCCGTCAGTTACATAATGAAAAAATATTAGACACGTATTTTTTTTATTTTCTCGTATTAAGTTGCAATACTTAGATAAAATGGCGCTAAGTTTAGGAGTGGGAGGTCGTTACGTCATAACGTGGTACAAAATGTGGCACGCTGTGACGTCACACGATATTTCAAATTAATATATCGTCGAAAGTATTTAGTTTTGTGAGAAAAGAAAAAATACGTGTCTAAAGTTTTAAATTAATGTACCTGTTAGTAATATACATGCAAAATTTAAAGTAGATCCATTCAGTACTTACTTTTTGAGATCACCCCGGATATACCTACATACAGACAAACAGACAAAAATTCTAATCACAATTTTTTGGCTTCGGTATCGATTGGAGATCACGCTTCAAGTATTCTTTTTAAAAAAATATTCCATGTACAGTTTTGACTTTTCTACGATTTTATTATATGCATAGATATATAAATATGATGCCTCGACCATACCCTTGATGTTTGCCACAAATACCAAACACACCAATTCCGAAACACCGATGTGTTGTCAGTGTATGAATCGCAAATGTTTGCCTAACTTCCTCTTATTTTTTTATGGGGTGAAAATCATCGAATACCTTTACCCGCCTGGGTGAGGCGAGAGGGAGTGTCAGACTCTTACTGACTAAAAACCACCGCGTTCCTACTCCTGCACTTCGAGCCGGAGCCCCGGTAACCCGTTAAGTTCTCCGCGGCTCCGAGTCGGCATCAGCCCTGATGGTTTTTGAGGCACGCGCGGAACGCGACGCGTCGTACGCTCGGGTGAAAAGTTTTGTGGGGCGCGAACCGGCGACGCGTCTTTCGTACCGGTTGATGTGAGCACTAACCCAGTTGCACACATTGCCAAACTTCGTCTGCAATATGTTTGTGTTCGTGACTGCTCGGCACCAATACCGAACAGTGGCGAACATAAACAAAAACAAGCGCATACATACGAACAGTCATCCACATGTTCGTGTTTGCTGTTTGCTATTGTTTGCCAAGCGTGTAGACCAGGCATTATTGGCTATGTGCGCGACGGCGGCGACGAGTAGCGTTTACAACATTTACGGAAGCTGTCAAATAATAGCAATGTTAACATTATAATTTTCTTTGCAAATATAAATAAAACCAAAGATTAAAACAGTATTGTTGACATTATTTAAGTGCAATTTATTCAATAGTTTTACTATAACTGAATATAAAAATAAAAACCGGGTTTGAATTTGAAACTATTACACATAATATTAGTTTCCAACCACAAACTGAGACAAAAGGCAATAAATTAGTCTTAGCCGAGCATGAAAGAAATGTGGAAGAACTGCGACATAACGGCCAGAGCAACGCAACAACAGTCATGGCCTATTTCTTTGCTTTGATTTTGTACTGCAATCAACACATTTGACAGCTGATCATCCGCATTTGTTTACAATTTCTGCCGTGATGTGCGCTGCGGTCGTTATCTGTCCGCCACTACTCGCTTTGCACATAGCCAATAGATAGACATTCATGTTAATTGCATAGTCGTGACTTTTGTAATGTCAATAAAAGTATAAGTACTCATAACATTTGTGTAAACATTATTTCATTGCACTTGGAGTATTAATGTATTAACAAACTACGTTTTTTCCTGACTATTCTTGCATAAGAATAATATTTTATTAATTGTTAATTTCAATAGTACCTACCACTACTTTTTGTCACGCAAAAGATATGTCACATAAAATGTTAATCTGATAACTTTATCTATTTCCTCGCCAATTTTCATAAAAATCGGTTCAACAGATTAGGAGTGAAAGCGTAACAAACAAAGAAACAGACAAACAAATTAAATATAGAATTTATTAATATTTAAAATAAGGTTCTTTTTAAAACGACGATAGAGGTGCTACCAGTTATTATAGAACTTTGAAATCCCGGGAAAATGTGAAAGAAGTGAGTTTACATTATTGAAATGTATTTTTCTAAAAATATTTTTATTTTATAGAAAGTTTGAGTACAGTTCTATGTACTATCTTGTAGTAATTATAGTTATAAGGAATGAAGCCATATGAGCGTGCAATATTGGAGTTTGTACTAAGAATTTTGAAATTGAAAATTTGTATTTTTTTTATCTATCTGCAGAATTAAGGGAGTAGGGAGTGATGTGTCAAATAATGACTTAGCTATAATATTTTTAATAACGTAACATAACATCACGCCCTTTATCCTCGAAGGGGTAGGCAGAGGTGCACATTATACCAATGTACAATGTAACACCCACTTTCCACTATTTATGTTACGAGTCTCAGTTCCAGACTCCGTGCTACTACTGAGAATTATTTAAAAAAAAACCAATAATACTTTGCCCGACCCGGGAATCGAACCCGAGACCTAAGACTAACTATGACGAGGCCCGGCAAGTCGGCAGTCGCAATTGCGACCACTCGGCCAATGAGGCAGTCATATTTTTAATCTATTTATCTTTAATAATGGGTGAAAGCAAAATATAGGTACAACTATTTCAAAATGTAGGTAGACACGTGAATAATGAAATGAGTAATGTTTTTTTTTTGCTTCAGGATCACACCATAGCCAAACCAATAATCGTCCTTGATCCCCCTCAACCAAAACGACCCAAAGAAAACTCCAAGCAAAAAACGTTTAAAGACAAGAACCTACAAAACTTGCCTAATACCCATAACTCAAATAACAAATTTAAACTCAAACACAACAACATTAAGTTCAATTTAATTAATCATCAATAGATTTGGGAACGTCCGTGTTTCAAACTTACTACAAAGGATACTCCGGACGCCTTTTGATTCAAAATTAGGACGAGTCCGGGACAAGGCAATCCCGTCTCTATTGTAAAAGACAATAACACGATAATTACTTGCAGGTATTTGTTATACTGATGATAGAAGCGGTGTACAAGGTGTACATTGTGGTATAAATGATAATATTAATATTTATGAAAATTATATTTTGTGACTTGGGAAAAGCGTTCGATAGCTACAATGACTTTACCACCATTAGCGAGACAAGTAAGTATTTTTTTCTATAGATAATAGATATCTATGAACATATTTAGTATGCCTTTTCGTGCACGGCTGTGCCACGTGATCAAGAGTCTTTGCGTGATCCAAGTGTAAAAAAGTCGTCTTTCATCATCATCAACAGCCTATAAATGCCCACTGCTGAGCAAAGCCTCTTCTCACACGGAGAAGGTTTGAGCATTAATCACCACGCTTGCTCAATGCGGGTTGGTGATTTCAAACTTATAATTAGAAATTATAAGCTCGGTCTCCTCACGATGTTTTCCTTCACCGTTTGTCAGTGGTGTCTGAATAATCTTAGGAAGTACATATAATTCGGAAAAAGTCAAATTGGTACTTGCCGTTGCTTGGTAGGTTTCGAACCCGCACCCTCATTCGTGAGAAGTATTAAACCTCTGGATCACCACGACATCTTCATAAATTCGAAAAAAGCCGTCTTTAATTTCACTTAAATGACGCCCGCTTCAAATGCATGAGGGTGACGATTCCAAATCTGGCAAGTACCAATGTGACATTTTCCATGTTAATGTACTTTCTAAGATTATTTAGACACCACTGAAACCTGGGCTTATACCTCTAATGTATCATTATAGATTTCAAATTGCCAACTTGCATTGAGCAAGTCTGGTGATTAATGCTCAAAAGATCTGTGTACGGAAAGATACCTTTAGTCAGCAGTGGGTAGTCGCCTCTATCGACAAATGACCTGCACTAATAAGTTTCTTGTCATGACTTCGTACAGAGATTGTATCAATAGAGACTCTTTTCGTTTACCCTAACAACAATCCTACTTAGATCAAGATTACTACGTTATCCAAGGCCATTCGTTTTTATTGTATCACCTTCATTTATATACCGTTTCTATGTATTTTTAGTGTTATTTTCAGTGTTATATAATGCAAATTGATGACGTGAACCTTTTGCAAATTAGTTTTTTTAAGGGGGGAAAATCATCGAATGACTTCTCCCGCCTGGGTGAGGCTGGTGGGAGTGTCAGACTCTTACTGACTAAAAACCACTCCGTTCGTACTCCTGCCCTTCGAGCCAGAGCCCCGACAACCCGTTAAGTTTTCCGCGGCTCCGTATCGGCATCAGCCCTATTGGGCCCTATCCGTGGTGGTCTGATGGCTCTTGGAGGCACGCCGCACGCTCGGGTCTGGTTCTGATCGGGCGGCGAGCTACCCATGCTCGCTGTCCGCAGTTCCGTGCTTACGGTGGCCGGAGATTGCAAATTAGTTTGGAACTAATCTTAAGTTCAGTTGAATGCCAGTGTCACCATCTTTAGGTCTCCATTATCATCATCATCAGTCTTTTATACTTTACTTCTGGACTAAGGGCCTGATCTAGATATGAGTGGCTTATAATATCCACGTGTGGCGACTGGTCTTGGAGACCACCAATCAGGTTTATCAGAGTGTGCTAGTCTATTTGTTGACTGACAGAAAGATCAGGGATTTAAGACATAAATTTTATTCTATTCCATCACTATTATGACAAAGTACCGGTCTTGGTATAAAACCTAATTACCTCTAAAAGTATTAACAAAATGGTCATGCTTAGGTATTTGTTAGGTACCTGTACCTAGTTCTTAAACTGTCAAACACCAAGCGGTCACCGGTGACCACAACCTATTGTTCTATAATTGTGTCTACAAAACCGGTACTCGACGAGTTAATTGACTGCATGATTGCGCGGTGGTAGGGCAACGTGTCGCAGGTTCGATTCCCGCACAGAACAGCTCTTACTGTGATCCACAGATTGTTGTTCCGGGTCTGTGTGTCATGTGTATGTGAACTTGTATGTTTGTAAACGCACCCACGACACAGGAGAAAATCCTAGTGTGGGGCAATGTTATTTTAAATGACAAAATAAGTAACTGATGCCGATACGGAGCCGCAGATTTAAAAGTTTACCAGGGCTCCGGCTTTAAGAGTAGGAGCAGGAACGGGTGGGTTTTTATACGCACCCGTGGTATGTTAGTAAACGCACCCACGCCATAGGAGAAATAAGTCAAATAGGGCAACGTCTTTTTTTTTAAATGTTATTCATCCCAGGTAGTTTTATATTTTCGTCACTCATATAAAAATATGTACTCCAAAATTAAAATTTTTTTTACTTATCATTGTTCATTTATGTGTTGGCTTACACATTGTTTTGTGAAAATATGTGTATTTTTAGATCAATTTTTGTTCACACAATGTGTGAATTGTATCGAAAGAAAATAATGATTAATGTTTTATTTTTGTCTAAAGACTATGATAACAATGAAGTTAAAAATACCTATGGCTTCTGCTATTGTTTTTTAAGGGGGGTGGGAAACATTGAATAACTTCTCCCGCCTGGGTGAGGTGAGAGAAAGTGCCAGACGCTAACTGAGTAAAAACCGCCCTGTTCCTTCTTCTGCACGTCGAGCCGGAGCCCCGGCAACCCTTTAAGTCCTCCGCAGTTAGAGGACAGGCGAGCTTTTGCTATGTTATCATCATCGATCGAAAGATGTTTTTTGCTGAATACTTTGTTGGTATTCTCAAAGTTAAAGTCAAAGCATTTATTTCAATTAAACAATAATTTGGTACTTTTGAATCGTCAACAAATACAACATAAATAATAGTCTATCAGTCAGTTTGTCAGTGAAATTAGGTGAAGCTAGGTGCTCATTCTAAAATGTAGATTCGAATGGAGAAGAACGAGCAAAAAACTCCATTCGTTACTCTTTTTTAAAAAAGTATGTTCTACAATGTCTCTGATACATCTCATCATCATCATGTATATTTTTCCAGTTTCTGGTGGCTGGATCTACACATTTGGCAGCATTATCAGCTGGAGGCGTCATAGCATACCCGAGCGTGTTGCTAGAACAACTGAAGTCTAATGACACGATCATACAAATTGATTTACACAAAGGATCGTGGATTGGTAAGTGGTCGTTGATTTTAAAAATAATTATTTTTAATGGCACTTATTTATTTTTTGCTTCTTTTTAGTCGATTTCCTCGCTGATGAGGATCGTGACTCCCTCTGATTCTGCTCACTAGATGTCGCCACTTATCTCGTTCCGTTGCTTGGTACATTGCAACATTCATAGGTATCTCCAGCTCCTTGGATATTTGGTCAGACTACCTTATGGGACTCCGACTTCTCGGTCTCTTTCCTTCTAATTTTGCTTATTAGCTCTATTAGCTAGTTTATTGTCAAACAATATATTACTAACTGTTAGTTTATATGCCATTAGAGTTTTCATATTAACAGAAAAAGATTTTATGGAACTCTTCAGCTGTTATTGGCAGCTCGCTTCGATTTTGAAACAGAAGCTAGAGAGAGTTACTAAATACTAGCTACCCGAATGAAATACTAGGGTAGTGCAAACAAGGTGTTAGTGATTGAATATTTGACAAACAGTGTCCAAATACTGGACACTGTTTCAAATCTTAGAAAGGTAACCATTCCCCCTAGTCCTGTCCATTATCGTACTGTTAGGTTTTGATATGGTAAGTTCTCTTCTTAAAGAAAACACTGCAGTTTGTAGAACAAAATCACTTTTATTTAAATTTCACTTTGAGGCGAGGAGTGAAATGTCAGTTCTGACGCGGATAAGGGTGTGATATTCCTTGGGTATAATAGTACCACAACACAATCGGCGAAACGTTACCGATTCATGATAGATGTCTCACCCGCACGCACGAAGCGCTTCGCATCAAGCATCCTTGTGCGCACTGCTAAGGAGTGGAATTCTTTGCCAGAGTCTGTATTTCCTGAAGGGTATAACCTAGGCGTCTTCAAGGCCCGAGTGAATAGGTTGGTTATGGGATGAGGTGCTCCATCGTAGACCGAATCATGACTTACCACCAGGCGAGATAGTGGTCAAACGTCGGCCCATCAAATATAAAAACATGTAGATTGATAGGAAGGAATTAGATAACATTTTTAGAATTTCTTCAATGTCTGAAAATTGAGACTTGATGCAATTATGAAGTCTTGAAGCAATTACAATAAAATACACTTAAAATTAATGAATAGTTGATTATAAATTTATTTTCACCTGAAATAATTTTAGTAGTAACAGTAACTCATAATGTTCACGTCTCCTTCATAATTTAATATACTAGGAGTGGGGCTAGATTCTAATATAATTTACCTACGCAGACTTACGTAACTTGGTTTCCAGACTCTAATAACTTATTGGCAATTAATATTAGAATAGAATATACCTAACAATGCACGACTAAATTAATTGTGGTAAGGGTAACTATAAACAAATTCTAAATATACATGTTGTCTTTATATTAAAACCTTCGTGGGGCATACTAAATTAATGATTATGTTTTCGGCTTACTCACATAACTATTTGACGAGGAGCTCGACTAGTTTCAAGCCATGTTAGAGCCTCATATTCATGAGCAGCATTCCGTGATACGCGACCAAGCAACTGTCGCAGTGCTATTGGCTACTGTCGATTTCCTCGTCAAACAGTTACGTGAGCAAGCCGAAATCATAACATTTAATACATCTTATTGTTCTAAAAGCGATTTCTTACTGGCAACTAAAAGATGGACTAAAATGAGAGAAAATAAACATGAGAATTTAGACAAGAATAATGGTAAAATAGAATGAATAGAAATTGAAAGGGAAACAGAGACAGAAGAGAGGTAAGTAAATGTAAGGAGAATTCACTTCTCGATTTCTATTCACTCCATTTCATCATATACCAAGTCATATATCATAGTACCAAGTCATCATCTAAAGACTATGGGTACAAAATCTCCACGAACTAGCACTTCTTATCGGACCCAATGACCCAATTGGAGACCTTTTACATCAGCTGAAACACAGTTTATTATCTTTCCAGGATCCGTCCACGGTATCGCCGGGCTACCAAGCATCTTCCTCCCTCTAATCATGCAACACCGAGGAAGAAGATTCGCCTTCATTCTTAGCTGCCTATTCATCATCACCGGCTGGATCGTTACTTACTTATCACAAAGTATTGCGACTTTAATCATTGGTGAATGCTTCCATGGCTTAGGGACTAATAGTCTTGTGACCACCACTTTTTTGAGTATCACCGAAATGGTTTCTCCCGTCTATAGAAACACATGTCTTCTCCTCTACGGTGCTGTTCAAGCTTTCGGCATATCTTCAGCAGGAATTCTAGGCAGATACCTTCATTGGAAGACTATAGGCATCATCATGAGTTGTCCAGTTTTTATAGCCCTTCTGATTGGTTTTGCCTGGCCAGAATCACCTTCTTGGTTAGCTTATAGAAGAAGGTTTGGTGAATGTGAACAATGTTTTGTAAAACTGAGAGGTACTGATGAAGAGGCCAAGAAAGAGTTAAAGGCTTTACTTAATACCAAAACTGAGGATGTTACAAGACCTGGTCTTCAAACTTTGAAAAAGTCTGTAGTTAGTAGAGATTTTTATGTACCAGCTTTTCATACTTGTATTTTGTTAAATGTCCTATATTGGTGTGGAGGTATGCCAGTGATCATATACGGTACAGATATGATAACAAAAATATCTGGAACAATGAATGCCAAAGCAAAACTTTTTATGGACATTGCTTTCTTTATTGGCTACATGATCGCCTCGATTTTAGTTCGTTATTTTAGTAGTAAGAAAGTGATGTTATTCAGTCTAAGTGGGACTACTATTTGTATGGCCGGTGCTACCATATTTTCCTTCTTTAGTGCCAGTTTAAAAATAGATTTTGCTCTATACTGCTTGATGGCTTTCCAAGTCTTTTTGAGCTTAGGTTCCAGTTGCATCGGATTCTCTTTATCTAGTGAAATAATGCCCGTAAAATATAGAGGAATCGGTGGTAGTTTGTATGTGGTCTTAATTTGTATTCTCCATTCTTCTTGCCTAAAGGCTTATCCTTATTTATGTCTATTCCTTAATATATGGGGTGTCTTTCTTATATACGCGATTTATGGGGTGTTTTCAATTGTTTTTATTTGGAAGTGTATTCCCGATACTAAGAATAGAACTTTGAAGGAAATTGAAGATTATTACGCTAGTGGACGTTTTAAGGATGGTCGTGATCGGGATGGTGATGAGACTGTGAATAAACCTATGATCAAATGTGATGGTAATTAAGATAGACGCACCTCACCGCCCAATTAATCCCCAATCATCCCTGAATCCCGAATAATCCTCAAATTCCTTATCCCAAAAGGCCGGTAACGCACTTGTAACGCCTTTGGTGTTCCAGGTGTCCATGGGCGACGCCGATTGGTTACCATCATGGGATTCGTCTGCTCGTTTACCGGCTTATTCCATAAGAAAAAAGACCATGACAAATTATAGTAATCTTGTCCATGTTATGATTATGATTTTGTCCATGATGCCCTTGCACGTAGTTTATTGAATTAAAATGAGGTTGTAACATACAACATCACGCCTTTTACCACCGAAGGGGTAGGCAGAGGTGCACATTACGGCCCTTAATGCCACTGTACAATGTAACACCTACTTTTTAGTATTTATGTTATGAGTCCCATGTAATAGGGGGCGAGCCTATTGAGGTTGTACTTTAGTTATTAAAAGCTAAGTGATGGTAATTAAAAGATTAGTTTATTTCTTTACTGTAATTTATTATTACGAAATACATTTGATTTTCTTAACATTTTGAATAATTTTTGAGACATATTATGTGTCTGAATAGCTCATCAAATGCCTACTATGCCCCAAACGGGATAACTTTACGTATACTATATCATAGTGTGCCTCCTTCATTAATTTGTAGCCAGTTATGGTACAAGTCCATGTTTCGGTTGTCACAGGGTCCCATTTTGCTAAACAAAATTTCATATCAAATACCTATTATTGATACCTAATTTACATGACCAGGAAACCAAATTCAAGAACACATACTTCACAAACGAGCAACTTGAAACCCAATCACTAGGTACATAGTATAAAACAAAGTCGCTATCCGCCGTCTGTCTGTCCTTATGTATACTTAGATATTTAAAACTACGGTACGGATTTTAATGAAAGATGAAATTGAATGAAATTTCAACGACTTTTTAACCGACTTCAAAAAAAGGAGGAGGTTCTCAATTCGACCGTATATATGCTTTTTTTAATAGATACAGTGATTCTTAACCGTACCGTCGTTGGAGTACCGTCATTATAGACTCAATTAAAGAACTTGTCGAAAATGTCTTTGCATTGTTCTTACATATGCGTACAGTATTGAAATATGTATCAGAGACATTGTAGAACATACTTTTTTAAAAAGAGTAACGAATGGAGTTTCTTGCTCGTTCTTCTCCATTCGAATCTACTTTTTGGAATGAGCACCTAGCTTCACCTAGTTTCACTGACGGACTGACTGACAGACTAAGTATTATTTATTTTGTATTTGTTGACGTTTCAAAAGTACCAAACTATGGTTTAATTCAAATAAATGCTTTGACTTTGACTTTGAACAATAGGTTGCGGTCACCGGTGTCCTCGCGGTGTTTGACAGTTTAAGGTAAGTTTGCATGTATAATACATGCATATTGCATCTGTGCGGAGCCGGGGCACCTCGCTAGTAAAAATATAAAACATAAATAATAAATTCAATTTCATAAATGTTACAGTTTTATTCATATACAATTACAATACATTCTGCTGAATGCAATTCTCGTTTTGTTTTGTAACCGCATTCACATGTATTGAATACGAACTGCTATTATTTTTTTTTATATACCTACGGCAATTCTATATTATAACAACTGGCCTATTAATAGTAATAGTAGCCAGTTGTGCTCTCTAATAGACCCGATTTTTTTTTAAGCTACGTACTCCAACGGTTTTATCGAACGTAGGCATTATGGAATTTGCCTCCAATGCAGAAGTCTTTTTTAAACGGGTTTATTTTTTATATTTGACTAGCTACTTCAGTGCGGTTTCACACGCTCAGTTCCTATTGGTCATAGCGTGGTGTTTTATAGCCTATAGGCATCCTCGATAATTGCGCTATCCAACACAAAAATAATTATTCAAATCAGACTTGTAGTAACGGAGATAAGCGCGTTCAAACAAACAAACAAACAAATAAACAAACTCTTCCGCTTTATATAATAGTATAAGAAGTATAAGATAAGACGACGTTTGACCACTATCTCGCCTGGTGGTAAGTGATGATGCGGCCTACGATGGAGCACGTCGTCGCACAAGCAACCTATTCACTTGGGCCTTGAAGACAGGCTATTTGTGTTATTAATGTCACGGTACACAGAAGTTATTGACGCCTTTTTTTTGATGGGGTAAATCATCCGATGATTTCTCCCGCCCGGGTGAGCCGAGAGGGAGTGTCAGACTCTTACTGGCTAAATACCACCCCGTTCCAGTCCTACACCTGCACATCGAGCCAGAGCCCCAGAAACCGGTAAGATCTCCGCGGCTTCGTATCGAAATCAGCCCTTGTGGGCCCTATTTGTGGTGGTCTGATGGCTCTTTGACGCGCGCTCGGAAGGCGACGCGCCGTACCGTCTCGGGGCGATGTGATGCCTAGTGTTTACTTTTCACAATCAAAATTATTATGAGCTCCATGAAATAGGGGATGAGCCTATTGCCATACTCCGGGCATAAGTCCAGACTCCCTATATTACTGATTTTTAACCGACTTCAAAAAAGGAGGTTCACGGTTTGACCTACCTGTATGTTTGTATTTCTGCGCAATTATCTCGTAATTAGCTGAACTAATTTTGATGCGGTTTTCATAAAAGTGTTTGTGACACTTAGGAGAAGTTTTTAGTTTTGACATACCTTATTTTTATTATTTTATTATTATTGTACAAATTTAACTGAAATTGTGATATTCTAATAATGTTTCAAATGCATGTACCTAATACATTTGTATGTCTATCACGGCAAAACATAGTGGACTATCTTTATATGTAAAACCTTATTATGTAAACTACCTATGTTTAACAAATAAATGATTCTGATTCTGATTCTGATTTTATTTATGGCATGAGCCGGTAAACGAGCAGACGGATCCCCTGATGGTAAGCAATCGGCGTCGCCCATGGACACCTGGAACACCAGAGGCGTTACAAGTGTTACCGGCCTTTTGGGGATTAGGAGTTCGAGGATCGTTGGGGATTCAGGAATTGCGGAGATTGGGGAAGGAGAGGGTAATTGGGCCTCCGGTAACCTCACTCACACGACGAAACACAACGCTTGCGTTGCTTCACGTCGGTTTTCTGTGAGGCCGTGGTATCACTCCGGTCGAGCCGGCCCGTTCGTGCCGAAGCATGGCTCTCCCACACTTACTAAGTGTAGTGTCCTAGTATTAATCAACCGCATTCAAAAAGAGGAGGTTGTAAAAGGTTAGTTTATAAAAGAATTATTATTTATAGTTGTGTGACCTGACCCGGCAATCAACCCTAGAATACCTTGAATTAATTTTGTTTTCATAACAAATCTCTACAACAGGGTTTCCCAAACTATGGGTTGGGACACATTTCCCAAACTATGGGTTGGGACACATTGGTGGGTCGCAAGTGAATTTTTAGTGGGCCTTGTCTGTAGAATGACACACAAACCAACCATTCTTTACTTTACTTTTCATATTGATAACGGTTTCTTTCCTAAAAGTGGGTCCTGGAGGTTGGAAACTTGATTTAAATAGATCGTAGTCCAGATAACTTTGGGAACCACTGCTCTAGAGGTACAATAATCTCTGAGCTATTTCTATATAAACGACTAATTTAATTAATTTACTCGTAATTTCATTAAAAGCTTACATTATGAAATACGTATGTTTATTGTTTACAATGGATATTGTTTGCCATTTAATAATGTTTTGATTAATCTTATACTATTATATAAAGCGGAAGAGTTTGTTTGTTTGTTTGAACGTGCTAATCTCCGTAACTACAAGTCTGATTTGAATAATTCTTTTTGTGCTGGATAGCGCATTTATCGAGGATGGCTATAGGCTATAAAACATCACGCTACGACCAATAGGAGATGAGAAGAGCGTGTGAAACCGCGCGGAAGTAGCTAGTTTAGTTATACTAGTTGAAGACCCAGACTTCACTCATAAAACCTACATATAAATTACTCTAAACTGTCGCTAGATTTATGATGACCGATTTTTTTTATTATAACACAAACAAACAAACCAAAAATCAAATGTTTCCTCTTTATACTATTCGTGTAGATAACATAACATCACGCCTATTATCCTCGGAGGGGTAGGCAGAGGTGCACATTACAGCACTAAAATGCCACTGTACAATGTAACAACCACTTTTGACTATTTATGTTATGAGACCCAGGTAATAGGCGGTGAGCTTATTGCCATATACCGGGCACAATTCCGGACCTCGTGATACTACTGAGAATTCTTTAAAAAACCCAATAATACTTTGCCCGACTTGCCCGGCAGTCGCACTTGCGAACACTCGGCTAACGAGGCAGTCGCAGTTTTTTATTATATGTAATCAGGTTTAGTAGGTAAAGTATCTATCTATGATATTGAAGTAAAATATTATTTGTGACAACTGGAGAAAGAAAAGATCATCTCAGTGTCTTCAAATCATTTATATCTATTTATATAATTGTAAGATTAAGACTAAACTATATAGTATTCTTGAATGCCAATTTGTAACATCGTAGACTGATTTTTTAACTCCATCTTATACTAATTCAACTACAAAGATAAACAGTTCAAGCAAACAAAAACTCTATCCAACTTTATAAAGTTAAATAAAAAATATCAAGTATAACATTTTCTATTTATCCACTAATTTTCTTATTGTATTTACTTAAGTGCCTCTTTAGTCTCAAAATTGTCTTATAAGACATTGAAAGTTAATTTAATACATCACATAAACCAAGCTCTTTGAGACTCAAAAACCTTTTTAAGTTTGATTATTTAAGCCCCAAGTCTAGAGGCACCCCTTTTAAATTCAATATAGATTGTTATCAAGTAATTAATACAGTACAAACAAAAGTTGACAGCAAACACTAAACGACTCAGGAAGCCGTCAAGAAACTTAAATTGCTGTTCAACTAACTTAAATTAAACCTCCATACAAAATACTTACCAAAAAGGTTTTACACTTGAGCTGTCATCGAATAAAGGAGACCGAATCACAAATGTCAAATGTCCAATATAGAAAAAAAAAACACAAACGGAAATAAAGATACTTTTTTCGAACGTTCGAAAAAAGAAGTGTCACAATTTTCCCGCCAAGATAAGGGATGGACGCGACCTCCCCCTTCCGTCGTTTGAGAGCTACTGGCTGTGTGGTTGGGCGCTGCAAATGATGTTCGCTGTTTGAAAAGTTAGGGTAGGTTCGCTGTGTCGAGCGAAGGGTGTGTCAACAATATTGGGGTTAATGTTTTGTTAAGTATTGAAGTGGAAAATTGATTACCGAAAGCTGTATTGAATGTTAAATGGGAATGGAAAATTAAAAACCAAATAGAATAGTAAATAATAGTTTGAATTAGTTTATAGGGACAATTAATGTGAATATTGATTACTGAGATTACAATAGGTACAATTTTTTTTACAGATATTTGGGCCCTTTTTGGTAGGAATATAATATAAGAGATTAGATGACAAACATATGTGAGTGATCCTCTTTGCTTGTCGAAACTAACTTTTGTGGTAAATAAAGTTACGTGATTTTTTTTCTCTTCATTCTTATTATCCAATGCGAAGTCAGTCCGACAACAAAGAGAGAGTTTAACTTATTTTAGTTATGACACTGAGACTGTTAAAATCTTCTTAAACATTATCATCGTCACTACTAGGACTAATGTAGTACATGTAAGTACAAATATTTAAAACAATTTTAACAGAATAGTAAATTCGTAATTTAAATTTGTATGTATATGAAACTATTTCAATGCTTGCATTCATTTTTCATGTCAAATGATTAGCACTCTTTTCACATGATTATTACATTTCTCATCCTATATTATAAGTTTGGAAATGAAAAAAAAAATAACCAATTTGAAATACTGGTCGAAATTCTGTCATCATAAAGAGAAAGAGTTGAGCCAAGATTCAATCACTGCTAGTGGTTTATAGGCCTCGTTTTCTTTCTCCCATAATTATGTAATTTGTGTATTACTTATCCATCTATAATACATTCAGCAATTAGGTAGGTACATACCTGCTCATTTATCGATCTCCGCAGCTACCGAAAATTTTAAATTCTACATTCACTGTCAAATCACGTACCTATGTATCTAGAGTATCTATTTTTATTTCAGGTACCGATGCCCTTTTTGATGTAAAAAGGGATACATTCCAACACCGCTCCGCTCCCCACAAAGTGAGACCACCCTTATACCACGTGACCGCATTTTCGCGCGCGCGATCGCTCATTGAGTTACGAAATTTTAAACACAATTTATTTCAGATCGTGTTCATTATTGAACATTCAATTTATAATAAATATTAATAAGTATAGGTATTAAAGGTTGAATGCATTGTTTGTCGATTATATTGGTGCGTGGGGCAAAGTAGTATTGGGTTTTTAGTTTGTCTAAATTGTCAAGGAAATCCAATTGCACAACCAAGTCGCGGAGAACCTAACGGGTTACCGGGGCTCCGGCTCGACGTGCAGGACAAGGAACGGGGTGGTTTTAAGTCAGTAAGAGTCTGACACTCCCTCCTGCCTCACCCAGGCGGGAGCAGTCATTCGATGATTTTCCCCCGATAAAAAAAAAGCTTCCAGATTGTTCGACATTACAATCAAAATAATATACAAATCGGGAATATCGAAGAAAAATAGTTAATAATGTATTTATAATTCGTATCGTGAGACATACTAAATTAACTATAATCGCGGGTTACTCACGTGAATATACTAAAAATACTAGAATCGAAACGTAAAACTAGAAATTTCTAGAAAAACAAAACACAAGTGGCGTTCTCTTAAATTTCAAAGTTAAATAAATAAAACCAGTAACTGTGTGTTTTAAATGGGGTCAGGAATATTTCGCAGAATTTGTTTTTTTCGTTTTTATTCGTTTCATTAACACGTAAACAATTGCAGTTGCCATTTTGTTTTAACCATTACTTCAGATAATTTACTAAGATAAGTAGAAATATATCTATATTATTGATGTTTTGAGTTTATCTTTTAATTTCCTATTAGTATTTAACCGATTTGACATTTACTCCAATTAGATATGTACAATGGAAATTCGTAAAGAAAGAACACACCAGCGCCGCGGAAAAATTTACCTAATAACTTCTACTCTCTTGAGAGAGGTGAAGTGAGGCGAGTGGGAATGTCAGACTCTTACTGAATAAAACCACCCGATCCTTATCTACTCTCCAAGTTGGAGCCCCGGCAACCCGCATTGAGCAAGCGTGGTGATTAATGCTCACCTTTTCTGTGTGAGAACAGGCCTTTGGTAAGCAGTGGCCACTTATAAGCTGTTGATGTTATTTGTGTGAGGCCGCCTATGACTCCGGTCAAGCCGGCCCATTTATGCCGAAGCATGGCTCTCCCACACTTAGACAAACTCAAACTCAAAAGCATTTATTTCAATTAAACCATAATTTGGTACTTTTGAAACGTCAACAAATATGAAATATATAAAGGTATGTCAGTCTGTCCGTCAGTGAAGCTAGGCGCTCGTTCCAAAATGTCGATTCGAGTGGAGAAGAACGAGCAAGAAACTCCATTCGTTACTCTTTTTAAAAAAAATCTGTTTTACATTGCTCTGACACATATTCCAATATTGTACACACATGTGAGAATAATGTAAAGACATACCTGACGCAACATACAAATAACAGAACATACTAATATAGAGAAAAATAAAAAAAAAACCAAGAGAAAACAAATATCTTAAGTCTGACATGGTCCTCACATATGTATACTGACAATCCATATAAAATAGTGCTTCTATACAAGAAAAAAAATAAACTCTTGTTTAAATAAAGAAAGAAATGCTCAAAAATATCTATATATATTTTTAAGTTATATCAATATTACTTCCACTTTACCACTATCTCAGGTGACACGACCACTTAAGACAAACTACGAACAATAGTAACTAAGTTATCAACGCAGTGATAATTCTATCAGTTAAGTTGGAAATGCAAGTTCTATGCGGGCTAACTTTACTGGTACAAGTTAGTATCGGCTTGAATATGTTTAGAAAGTTACGGGTAGGTAGGGAAAATGTGGTTTTACGTGTGTAGTAGATAGATACGCGTATTTTTGGATGGTGAATGGATTTATTATGTTCTTATTGTTAAACTTCTATAATGCTTAGTTCAGCTGTTTTTAAGTTTAAGAGGGCAGCTTGCGGAATAGTCGAAATTATAAAAAATACATTATTGTGTGACCCTTTTTGCAAGGGGGGAAAAATCATCCAATGGCTTTTCCCGCCCGGGTAAGGCTGGAGGAAGTGTAAGACTCTTATTTTCTACACCCGCACTTCGAGCCTCCGCAGCTCCGTTCCGTTCCGCGGCTCCGTGTCGGCATCAGCCCTATTGGTACCCCATCCGTGGTGGCTTGATGGCTCTATGAGGCGAATTAACCTTTAAACGACGAGCATGCATGAAAAGACTGATGAATGTCGACAAAGATATGTAGGAATCGTAGCAATTGGCGTTCCATAGTCTCTGCCTACACCCATGATGGTAGACAAGCATGAGATTATGTATGTATGTATGTAACATTTTCAAGAACTCTATGGAGCAAGAGGTCCCAGGCTCGAATCCAGGTTTAGGAAAAGGTCATTGTGATTTCAAAAGGTTTTCAAATCCTCTATTATATGGACCTTTTAAGAAGTAAAATGTGCAGTATATAGACTTTTGTTTATTTTTTCGGGAATCGAAAAGCATCGGGCGCTATGTGACTGGTAAAAGTTTGTGAGTAAAAACACTCCTTCCTACCTCTTACATAGAGTAATAATTCGCGTGATATATGTACGTATGTTTGGTTATTATTGCATAGACGGTACATTTCAACACACACCGCAAGTTCCTCACTAATACATATGCATTAGTTGTAACGCAGAACCGAGGAATACGATAGATGCTTATATATCATACTGTTATGAGTATTATTATTATTGACCCAGAATATTATTATTTTGGGTCGAAGTTTATTATAACAGGTAAATTGGGAGATACATTTTTTATGTGTCGTGGTGGCCCGGAGGTTTAGGAGGCTTGCTTCTCATGCATGAGGGTGCGGGTTCGAAACCTACCAACGGCAAGTACCAATGTGACTTTTCCCGAGTTATATGTACTTTCTAAGATTATCTAGACACCACTGATAAACGGTGAAGGAAAACATCGTGAGGAAACCTGGGCTTAAAATTTCTAATTATAAGTTTGTAATCTCCACTCTGCATTGAGCAAGCGTGGTGATTAATGCTCAAACCTTCTGCATGTGAGAAGAGGCTTTGCTCAGCAGTGGGCATTTATAGGCTGTTGATGATCATGAAATCACTAAATGGTATTGCTTAGGACAAACTTTCCAAATCCTTACTATAATATTATAAATTGGAAAGTGAGTTTGTTTGTTTGTTCCGCTTTCACGCCGTAACTACTTAACCGATTGCTTTGAAATTTTACAGACGCATAGTTAGAAGTCCAAATTAAATAATAGGGAGTTTTTATCCCGGAAAAATGTGATATTCCCGAGGGAAAACAAAAGTATTGGTATAGATGGCGCTGTGTGTATTTGTATATGTCGCATAGGCTACTTTTTATCCTTTTGTGACGCGAGCGAAGCTGCGAGTTAAAGCTAGTTACAAATAAGTAATATTGATATGGTGTTCCCTCAATTCTGCCAGTTTGAAAACTCTTAGACGGCTTTCACCTCACTGATGCTCCTTATTCTTTCTTTCGACAAACTTAGATATCGTCTACAATACTCATTCTAGAACAAATTAATATAAGTGTGCTAGCATTTATCTACCTGAGCGTTCTTAATGAAACAAACAAGATATTATATAGTAGTAATTCCTCTAGACTGCTAGATGATAGACTGCCTCGTTGCCCAAATGGTCGTAAGAGCACTGCCGGGCTTGGGTTCGATTCCCGGGTCGGGCAAAATATTACTGTGTTTGTCAGGAATTGTGCCTGGTATATGGCAATAGGCTCGTATTACATGGGAATCATAACATAAATAGTGAAAATTGAGTGTTACAGTGTACAGAAGTATAATGTGCACCTCTGGCTAATCCTTCGGGGATAAAAGGCGTGATGTTATGTTATGTTACTACTAGAAGATTGATGAAGAAACAATGACAGTGCGTTATCAAGTCTCTGCTGTAACAAAAGTGACACATTCCTGCGTGAGACGGCGAGAAGGAATCCAGATTAGTGTTAGTAGGGTTTATGAAGACTATTATGTTACTATTTTTTTTTATAACATAAGCCGGTAAACGAGCAGACGGATCACCTGATAGTGAACAATCGGCGTCGCCCATGGACACCTGGAACACCAGAGGCGTTACAAGTGCGTTACCAGCCTCTTGGGGATTAGGGGTTTGAGGATCGTTGGGGATTCAGGAATTGGGGAGATTGGGGAAGTATTATACTATAAATTAACACTAAAATTATGCTGAATGAAAACAAATAAAATCTTTTTTAAGAAAAGCTTTCTCCACCTTCAAACCTTCAAGAAAAGAGCGTATTCCTTTTTAAAAGGCCAACGTACGCGTGACTCCTCTGGTATTGCGGGTGTCCATGGGCGGCGCTGATCACTTACCACCAGGTGATCCGTCTGTTCGTTTGCCTCCTATTTCATAAAAAAAGCTTTAACTTGGCGTTTCATCATCATCAACAGCCTATAAATGCCCACTGCTGAGCAAAGCCTCTTCTCACATAGAGAAGGTTTGAGCATTAATCACCACGCTTGCTTTCGATTTCAAACTAATAATTAGAAATTATAAGTCCAGGTTTCTTCACGATGTTTTCCTTCACCGTTTTTCAGTGGTGTCTAAATAATCTTAGAAAGTACATATAACTCGGAAAAAGTCACATTGGTACTTGCCGTTGGTAGGTTTCGAACCCGCCCCCTTATGCAT